GCCAATCTTACAATGACCTGACAAACCCCAAAGCCTACTCTTTCCTTATCTCTGTATGCATGGAAACAGCAATTGGCTTGCTAAGAAAAAGAATATTCATATTATCTTCAATCATCCACAGAAAGGGTCTTCAGGTTACTTCAAAGAAGCTTCTTCTCTGGCAGCCTCTCACATTTTCTATGAGAAATAAACTTACCATGTGGGAAATGTGACATTATGGTTCATATTCAGATCTCAGATGAAGTGGCTTACTTCCTAAGAATTGACAAGGCAAAACCTAAAGCCAGACTCTAAAAAAGTGACTTACTGTTCACCAGAAACTCTGCATGTTGGTGGCCAAATTAACACCACTCTGCAGATGGAATGCAATTATAGTTTTCTAGTCCTGCCTGGACTTTCTGGCTGAATGACAGTAGGCAAATAACTAGATGTCACTACCGTTGGTTTACTTCTCTGGGAGGTGAGAATGACATTACCCACTCATGATTCTCAGATCCAGGCTAAATTAGACACCAGAAAAGGCCTGGCATGTGCCAGCTTCAGACAGTCAGCACTAAAGAAATGCCACCTGCCTTCAGAATTTTTGACTCAGGTGGAACAGAAACCCCACAAAACAGGTAACTATCATCTTGTACAATGGACAGTCAGTTACCTGAGGGTACAGGGTATTTTTAATTTATCTCAGGAACCCAGTATTTAACAGAGGGTTGACCCAGGGTAAAAAATAAAACAACAACAATAATAAACGGTTGCTCAGTGGAGAAAATGAGAATTTCTGGGATTAAAGGATGTTATACTATCCTGGCCATGATCAAAGAAAATTTTAATTTTTAGTTTGGCCCTTGCTAGAAGATACCATGCAGTTTAAAGCAACCTATTCTGAATTCTAATAATTATATTCTGTAAAATGTAAAAACCCAGTTGCCCCACAGCTCTCAATTTTAGTTTTGAGAATCCAGTTCTTTTCTAAACAATGGAGTGGGTAACCACAGAAACTCATGGAATCTCTTTTCCTAGAATACATAAAGAACAGGAGAGAAGCCAATCTGTCTGGAAACTGCTCCCAAATCTGCCTACCAGCAGGATGCTGAACAAGGCTGGATGCCCCTCGGAGGATCCCTCCAGATCTCCATCACTAAGATGTTAAGAAAAATAATCCTAAGATAATTCTGTCACTTATACCCAGCAAAATAAAAATAAATTTAGCATCTAACACAGTTGCAGGAAAAAAATTACTTGAACTTAGTGATGCTTTTGCAAGTATATTTTTTGAACTGTACTAAACACCATCCAAATCTATTAACTTGAATGTGAATTCTTTTTAGTAAGATAGAATAGAGATCACACCCAGTAACACAATACATAAGGTTAATAACTATTTCCCTTTTTAAAAGCCACTTATATCCCAAATATATTCATCCCTAAAAGCCTGGTAAAGTGATCTACTTGTTTCAAATATTCCACTCAATTCTCCCATTTATGAATTTTTATGGCATTCACTGCCACATCATATTATGCAGATGACTATTACATGGTGCCTTCAATTTTATTGGACTCCCAAGTAACAATTTTTTGTCTCCTCAATTGAAATGTAAGCACCTTGAGTCAGTTCCAAGTTGCCTATCCTGTACAGGAAAATGTAAAAGCTCTCTCATAACAAGCACTGTAATTCTGTATTTTGGGTATCTGTATGAAGTTTTGGAAGAACAGTCACCCCAACATGTAAAAAATCAAGTTTTCAGAGCACCATACTTTGACATTCACCACTGAACTGTGACTAGTTTAGCTGAGGTTAATCCAGGCTAAAGGGAAAGATCTAGAATTAAGTTTGCATTGGTGCAGATCCTTCCCTATAAGTAAGTAAGGAGTGATGCAAGTGAGCCCCTCGCACACAGGCGGCAGCTGCTTTAGAAAGTGCAGCACACCCTCTGGATTGCAGAGCTGTGCAGGTCCTGATTTTACATAGGATAAATTATTCATTCTGTTAGGCCCAGTCACTTAAGTGGCAATAATCAGAGAAGACTTTTAGAATTTCAATATGTAATAATATTCAAAATATGCAAGTAAAACTTATAGGCCGAAGAACATACCTAGAACAAGACCAAAGGGCTCAGAAGATCAGTCATGACAAGTACATGCCACACACATCCAAAAAGCAAGGCAAGGCCTTTCTTTATACAAAAAACTGGAACTGCTTGCCCTTATTCCACAGCAAGTACTATTCTAGGCACCAGCAAACACACAATTGTAAAACATTATATAAAGCCAGAGCTTAAGGAATGAGAACTCAAGGCTAACCTAAACTTTTTTTCCAGAGCAGCAAATCAACTAATGTGTCTCAGTTGATTATCTTGCCTCAGGAACAAAGGAAGGAATGAAAAGGATTTCTTATGCCTCTTCTATAACAAAATAGTCTTATTCATTAGCCAAGTATATTTTATGCCTCCTATACAACAGACAATGTGAGCCACGAGGTATACAAAAACTGACAAGATACTAACCTTGAAGCTGTCCTCAAAAAAACACTAATAGCAAGACAACAGGATGAATACAATAATAGAAGCAGTAACAAAGAGAAATAACAGATCATATCTCTAATTGGCTAAGACTTTCAATATTTCGAAAAAAATAAACTCTAAAAGTATGTTTTATGTTTACAGTAATCCCACGAGGGCAGACCCTACATCTTCTTATTCCTGTTATGCAGATGGAGAAATTGAAATAAAGAGAGGATAAGAGAGTCTATTAAGGTCATCTCTCGTGGCAACAAAAATGCTTAGAAACCAAGTTTATTTACTCCAAGATAGACATTTTTTTTCATAACTAGATGGAAAAGGCAGATGTTCTTTTTATGTTTAGTACTTCTCTGTGCAAGAATACAAGTTTACAAGATTATATGCAGGATAATCTGTGGTTGTGAAAGCAACCTTAGCTGGTTTTGAAGTGTTATTCCATGGTTAAGTAAGCAACATACAAGATATTATTACTAGCATAATAAAGTGCCCACTGTACATATAAAGCATAGATGGAAAAGGGTTCTGTCCTTGTAAAGAACAGTCATATAAACATTTCAACAAAAAAGTGACATAATTAAACTACAGAAGTAGAAAGAACATCATAAACAATTACATATTTAAGACACTAACGATTTTATAGAGCAAATGGGGGAAGGGGTGCCATGAAGCAGACTCTTAAAGGATTAAATGGAGAATGAAGCCCACGTGGATTCATAACAGTCTTCAGATAAAATCTTACTAAAATGTTCATCACATTTCAATAAATTATTAACTTTCTAATTCCTTCATTTCACTTTTCAACTTTACTCAAAACCATTATACAAATACTCCACTCTCCCATTTCTAGGAAAGTTTCAATTCTGTAAGTTTTCCTACCCAAAAGAAATACGATTTATAACAGAGGTTCCCATCAGTGTGGCTTTCATAAAGAAAAAGAGAAATGAAGAAAGAAAATTATATATGATTACCCTATTTTCCACCCTTCAGTTGCAACCAAAATGAAATAAATTTGAGAATTTTTCTTCTGTGTACAATAAAATTTATATATACATGCAAGAATCACTTCATAAAAACTAAAGGAAAAAGCACTCTTTCATTTTCAACCCCAGTTTTAAACATCTACTCTATCTGCTTGATAACCTACTATGTTTTATAAATACTACTATTCATCATGGCCTTGGAAGTTCTGTTTCAAAATTTAGCACATTATAGATTGATAAAGTGGACAAAAGTAAAAAGAAAAAAAAATTAGAATTTAAATTACTAGGAAAAATTACTTTAAGAACAGGCTAAAGGTAAAAATCATGATCATTCTTCTAAAAGAATAAGGACTTCTTTTCATTATTATTTTTTTTTTTTGTACTGAGGATCAAACTTACTGCCTCACATTTGCCAGGCAGCTGCTTGTGCCACTGAGCTATATTCCTGATAGGATCTCTTTTAAAATACAATTTGAAAAAAAATTTTTTTTAATTTTGTATTTTCTGAATACATCCAAGGGTTCAAACTTTTAGCCAGTTATCTTCCTTCTCAATATTTGGTGAATTTTGAGGGTAATAAATAACAATTTAAATGACACTCCTGAACCACTACAATAGGCTTACCAGAATTACCACCAGTATATCACAAAAGTATTTCAAGATACTCTTCAAGTTGTAAGACTTGGTTTCATTGCAATAAAATATTTTCACAAACAACAATTTAAAATCTAAATTGTAAGCATGGTAAACTTTTCAGGTCGGAGAGGAACTAAACCTGAATTCATTATGTGTTAGTCCTCAAGAGGAAACTACTGGACAAAATTAGATCCTAAATGAAGTTAAGGAACTTACTAAACATGCAGCACTAGTGACATCTAGTGTTAACAACTGCAAGCCAGCTGCACTACCATTAAGTCCTCTCAAATGCTTAAGAACTATTCAAAGTTTCTCATGAAAAACTTGTGTAGTATATCAAAAAAATCCATAATCAAATAGTTCCATAGGTGTCCCTCCAAGACATTAAGAAATAGAGAGTAAAGACCAAAGAGTAAAAAGTATTATTTCATGTGATCAACATCTTAAACTACTCCGGTTCATTCCTTATGCTCCAGACTACAGTGAATGCAGAGGTAGTCTAGGACATGTTCTGTGAGTTTCATAGGCATCTAAACTTCTGCTCAGACTGCAAAAAAGAGTACTTAATAACACAGAGAGAAGAATTTAGGACATTTCAGAATTTCTTCAAGATGATACAAAGAGAACAAGAAATTTTAGTGACTATACTGAGAAACAAGCATACATTTCAGCCCTTACTACATTTCTGGGGCCTTGAAAGGTTCACTTATTAATTGATATTTTTTTCCAAGGGCTTAGAATTTAGCAGCATAGATTAACTCATTATAGTATTCTTATAGTTTTATACTGCAAGTAAATCCATATTAAGCAGAATTTAACAATTACTTTTGGCCAGGATAATACTGTGTAAAAAGTAGATGGTACTTACCTATTTGTTTTGGAATGTTCATCCTTTCCCCGTTTAACTCCAAATATTCTTGTGATCAAGGAACTAAAGAGAAGTGTGGATGAATTTCGTACCTAATGTAAAAAATAAAGGGTTAAGAAACATTCATGGCATGAAACCACCATTTATAATGATTAAAGTAGATACTCAAAATCATTACCCTTTGTTGGGCATGGAGTTGAAGAAAAAATCATTTATGCTCATAAGATAACTTTCAAAAGAAACTTTATAGAAACTGACTCAGTGACTTCCTCTTAAATTGAGCTCTTTTTTGGTATACTTTTGCTATTAACCTGTTTTCATGAAGTGTTCATATTTGCATCATCAAACACCATTTGTTTTTAAAGAGGAAAATAAAACTATTTTTTCATACCCTTCCTGAAAATGAATATTCCAGGAAAGACCTAAACTCTTTGCATTTTCTTTCTGTGATTACCTACCTATGAAAAATTACTTGTAGGACTTAATGTCAAAGCAGCCATGTAATTAATAAAACCAAGAGTGACAGATATTCAAAATGTTACTTATTAACCTCACGAGGCCAGTACTCAAGAAACCCTACCCTCGAAATTATTTGAAATAAATAATAAAACAAAGAGATAAGAATTTTAATTAATGAACCTGAACCACTTCTCCAAGATACTAATAGAACGTATCTTTTCCAAACCAATGTGCCAAGATGCTTTGGAACTACCCTGCCAAATCAGAACAAAGTTGTGCAATCCTACACTGCCTTCCCTACAGTATGCAAGGCACTATTACCAGTAACACATCCAGAAATAGAAAACACAGCTACCAGAGGGGTCATGCTCTCATTAGGTGGATGTCAACATATGGTATGTTAAGTAGCAATATAAACAGAAAGTTCATTTAAAATAACAAAGCAGCAAGCCAGGAGTGGTGGCACATTCCTATAATCCCAACACTTGGGAGGCTGAAGCAAGACCAGCCTGCACTACACAGCAAGCCTCAGGCCAGCCTGAATTGCATAGCAAGACCCTGTCTCAAAAACACAAAAAGTAGGAGTCGGGGATTTAGCTCAGTGGCATAAGTATCTGCGTGGCAAGTGTGAGGTCACGAGTTCGATCCCCAGTACAAAAAAAAAAAGACAAAAAGTAAGTAAATAAATAAAAGTAATAAATAATAATAATAATAATAATACAGGATTTAGAAAATGGCTTCCTAACCACTGCAGTAAAGATCACAAATTCATATGCCCCAAGGACCTGCAAGCAACGGAGGCAACAGTGAACTGTGGCTAATGCAATCACTACTCAGCTTCAGCTGACTTGTTGCCACTAGGGAATACAAGCCCAGTGTTGCCCGATCTGTTTTTTTCTAGAGAAACTTGAAAGCCTGGTTTTTATGTGAAATATTTCAATTTTGAAATGTTGGCAACAAACTAAAGAAAAGAAAGGAAAATCTACCACAGAGGCCAAATAAAACACAGCAATGGACATTTGTCCTACTGGCCTCCAGATTATAACCTCTCTTCTAGAAGCCCCAAGCTGCATTCATCCCTGGTAACCCTGAAAGTGGACTTTATGGATAAACCAGCATAACTCATATCAAAACTGCAATGAAACCCTAAAATCAGAAGATCTACTTGTGTTCATTCAACCGTCTGCAAACATTCATGGAGTTCCTACCACGTGTCCTCTCTAGTATCTATTATATGGATATTAAGCATTCCACCTGTTACCTCATCAGTATTGCCTCTGCCCCAACTCAGGTCTGGCTTACCTCCTACCCAATCTACTCAAGTGGTTCTCAGACTCATAGATCTAAGATAACTTAGCAAAGACCCTGTTTTCTTTCAGAAATCATATCAACAAAACACAAAACAAGGGGTGGGGATATGGCTCAGCGGTAGAGCACTTAAGGAGCATGCAAATGGTTCTGAGTGACATGGTCACACAGTGAAACAACAGAAAAAAAGGAGGAAGGGAGGGCTATAGAGGGGCTAAATGAAAAAGAAAAAAAGGGAACAAAATCACAAACTCCGTTTTGCCCTAAACAAATTTTTGTTGGCAAGGTAAAATCAGGAGTACCTGGACATGTTAAGAAAAGCATACTTTTGCTTGAGTCAGTAGGCTGAAGGCAGGAGGCACATGATGTCTCTTAGTAATATTCAGATAACAGTGGATCCTAGTACAGTCAGACTGATTCACCCTGCTCTAGACTGAATGCTTGTGTTCCCCGACGCTCAAATTTAAATGTTCAAATTCTAACCCGCAAGGTGATGGTATTACATGAGGTGAGGAAAATTTAGGATTCAATTAAATAATGAGTGCTCTACCCTCATAAATGGAGTATTAGTCTCCATAGAAAAGGCGCTAGACCATTCACGGACCAGGAGTAGAGAGAAGAAGGCCACACCAGGAAGCAAGCCTAGTCTGGGAACCTGCACGATGTGCGGGCTGCCGCAGGACTGGAACTGACAAACCCCAGCCCCTTCTGGCAACCAACTCGCCACCCCTATAAGTGACAAGTGACGGGCTTATCTGGAGAAACATAGGCTGTGATGATAGCTATGGAGGTGAAGTGCAATCGGATGTCTGTGGCGCTTTGGTGTTTCACTCACATCGCAGGTCTGGGGCCACTGGTCTGACCATACATTCAGAGGACAGCAGTACGCAGTGTGGCATCTAGGGGGGATCTCCTTCTGAGGGCTGCAGCCATTGTTGATTCCCTATGGTCTTGTTTTGGAAGTCCTATACCATTTCCATTGTTTTACTGAGTTGGGTTTTATTTTCTTTTGTTTTGTTTGATTATGTCAAATCCGATGACAAGAGCAGCTACTTCAAAGATAGCAAGAAACATTATGGTAGCAATTTTGGATTTACTATTGGCTATTTTTGAAGTCCTTTATTGCATTCAGTGTTTCATTTTTATTTTTTCTATTCTAATCTGTTCTGTTTGATTTTTACTATGTCTGAAGTTACCTGCAGCTATTTTGAAGACATCAAGGGGCATTATGATAACTATTGTTGATTTTGTAATGTTTTTAAGTCCTACGTCCCTTACACTAGTTTGTTTTGATTGGTTTTATTGTGTTTTATCCTCTTTAAAATAAAATTTTAAAAATTAAAAAAAAAAAGAAAATATACTAGAGAGAGGCATGCCTTGCCCCTTCTACCACATCAAGATGAGTCAGAAGATCACCCCATGAACCAAAACACAAACCCTCAGTAGACAATGAATCTGCCAGGATCTTAATCTTACATTTGGTCAGCCTCCCGAACTATGAGAAATAAGTTTCAATTGCTTATAAGACAGTTTGTGGTATTTTGTTAAAGCAACTGGAACATACTTGGATACTCACTATACAGTTTCCTTAATAGTAGCCAAGGATGATCATTACCTATCTCTGTAAGTACACCAAAATGGTAATATTCTATCAGGCATTCTACATTACTTATTTATATTCCCAGAGGAAAAATTTTTTAAAAGAGCTTTCCCTCACCAGCTATTTGATTTCCCTGTTAACTCTGTCAGTATAGAATTATTTCCAAATATTTATCAATTCAATTCATGGCATAGCAACCTCCAAAGGGGATCAAATGATTGTATTTTATTTTAGAAACTGTATATTTCATTTTAAAAATCACTTTTTATTTCATTGAGGGAAATTTCAAATGCCATAGAATTGAGCATTTTATAAAGTATTTTAATTGTTTTTATTATATTCCCAAAGCAAGAAATTGTCAGCACTAAATATTTCAATAATCACCACTAAATATTTACCCTAATGAAACCCACATGCATTACTCATCATTCCCTATCCTCAAACAAATGAAAAGCACTAACCTATGTTTTTCTCTATAAATTTGCCTATTTCAGAAACTATCTATGCGTGGGACCATCGCTAGGCAGTCTTTTATGCCAGGCTTCTTTCACTTAACGCAACGCTCTTGGGTTCACCATGCTGCTGGCTGGTATCTTATTGTACAGATACACCACATTTTTAAAGTCTATTCAGCATCTGATGGGCAGTGAGCTTGTCTCCTTTTTTGATTGTCATGAATGATGATGCTGAGAAAACTTATGTACAAGCTTTGTGTAGACATGTTTATTTCTCCTGAGTTATACTTAGAAGTTGCAGGCAGAGTCAAAAAGTAACTCTGTTTAACCTTTTGAGGAATGCCAAAGTGGTGGTATCATTTTCTATTTTCATCAGCAATACAAGAGGGTTCCAATTCCACCAGTTTTCCAAATCCTCCATAATAGTATTAGTGCCCATCATTTTTTGTTTTATTAAGTATTATGGTGCTGATTTGCTTCTCTAATAATTAATGATCTTAAGCATCCTCTAATGTAGCATCTTCTTTGAAAATGTATTCAAATTCATTGTCCATTTTAAATTGAATTACCTTTTGGTTATTGAATTCTAAAAGTTCTTTGTATGTTCTGAATACTAGCCTCTAATTAGATATATGACTTACAAATCTTCTCTCTCATTCTTGGAGTTGTTTTTTCATTTCTTAATGGTGTACTTTGAAATGACATTTTTATTTTAACTGTCTAGTTGACCTAATTTTTTTTGTTGTTTGCACTTTGTGTCATATCTAAGAAACTTACCTATTTCAAGTTATAAAAGTTTCTACTTTTTCTTCTAAAAGTTTTATAACTTTACATTTAGGTTTTTGATCCAATCTTAGTTATTTGAAGATGATACGATATAGGAACTAATTTCATTCTTTTACATGCAGCTGTCTAAGTTGTTCTAGTATTATTCTCTCCACTAAAGTCATTTTTGTTCATTAAATGCTGGACAATCAATCCTATTCTACTGATTTACCCTTTTTCTAACACCACAATTTTTTGTTTATTATTGCTTTTTTACAATTTTCAAAATTAAGATCACTTAGTTCTTTTTCAAAAACTATTTGCCTATTATGGTTCTTTTGCATTTTCCTATATATTTTACAATCTGTCAATTTTAGCCCAAAAAACCAGGTGAGTTTTTAAGAGGTTATATTAAATTCATAGATCAATTTGAGGAATACTGCCATCTTTTTTTTTTTTTCACATTTTTTTTCTTTTTGTCTTTTTATCGGTACCAGGGATCGAACTCATGACCGCCTGCTTGCAAGGCAGGTGCTTACGCCGCTGAGCTAAATCCCCAGCCCTGAATACTGCCTTAGTAATAATTTATTACAGTAATAATAATTAATAATTAATTGAAGTCTTAATAATTTATTGTAGTAATGAACATAGGATAGCTCTTGATGTTTTGGCTATATAGTAAGTTCAAGGCCAGCCTGAACCACAAAGCAGTATCTTGTCTCAAAAAAAAGGAAACATGCCAAACCCCTGTTATGACTTATGTCTGGCTGCTCCCAAACCTCACACGGTCACAGGTGGGGTTCTCAGGATGGTTGGCTTTGGGTGTGACATGGTGCATGTCATGCATCACTTGCTTTCGCTTTGCTTCTTCATTATTTTGCCACCTTCTGCCCCTCCATGAACTATTTTTCTTCTGTGATGCCATTCTGCCTTGCAGCCAGTCCAAGTGAAACCTCTACAACCATGAGCTAAATAAACCTTTTCTCTGTAACTTTGGGTGTTGGACATTTTGTCTCAGCAATGAAAAAAGTAACAAGTTTCAAGGTAGCTGAAATTCTCCTCCTTTCTAGTCTTACAAAACCCAAAGCTCTCCTCTACAATAATAGCACAGTATTTGGAGTCAGTAGATTTTTGTCCTTAGATAAGACTGGGTCTTTATTGATGAAATATCACTTATATTAGCACCACTGAGATGAATCAGTGTAATGTAATTGATGCCAGGTACATGAAAATACTCAGTAACTACAGCCATTATGACTATGTCTTATTTATCCTTCCATTTCTAATGCTTAACATATCATCTGCAAAACAATAGGCATATCTATTTGCCTACTATGCTTATAATAAACGTTCTCTGTACTTCAAAAATGTCTACCCCAAAACCTGAAGCACTCATTTCTGATACTTTCAGTTTTGTCAAAAAGGTGGCGGGAGGGGGAATGATCACCAGGTTTAACTCTGCAAAAGCCTTTTCACAAAAAGTATTTCTTTTATTGTCTGGAATTAAGCTTAAGGAAAAAAATATTGATATTGCTGGCAATCAGTTTTATGATCTCTTATTTTCCTGACAATCAACCCACATTTCTAGCTCTCTGACCACACACGAAATAAAGGTATTGCTCTGTTTCCTGTAAATGCAAAAGGTAAATACTATGTTCTCAAGAGCAGTTATGCAATACTCCTAGACAGAATTCCAGAAGTCTGTGTCTCTTACAGGAAGATGCCCAAAGTTCCAAGCAAGAGTTGGCAATCTTGAGGATTCCTTTTCACACTGGAAGTCAACGCCTTTGGCTGCCACTGAAATAGACTGACTCACAATTACAGGCTTCTCATCTAGGTATGAAATGACCATGCAACTCACTAGCTAGAAAGACTGACTTTCGAGTAAATATTCTAGTTTAAAATTTTGCTTTATTTTCTCCCCTCCCTTTTTTAAAGCCCTATTTCAAGCACCTACAAACCATTCATTATTTTTCCTTTATTCTAGAGGACACAATGACACAGGAAAATAAAAAAATTATGAAGTTTCTTCCAGAAATTAAGAAAAAGCACATGAAAGCTTATTTTTTAAATCCAGTGGGTGTACTGGGTACTTCTCATATCTTTAAGCTCTGAATCAAAACATTTTTGGATAGTGATCATACTGCAAATGAAAACATGACTCAGTACTTCACCCATTTTAATGTTTTGTCTTTTCAACTTTTGATAGACTGTTTACAGTACCTAATCAACATAGTAATACACAGAATATGCATTACAAAGCACCCAAAAGGAAGATACATTAACAGTCTAAGAGCTGTTCTGCTTCTAGATCAATATTAGCAATCATTAGGGAAATGCAAATCAAAATCAGACACCACTTCATATCAGCTTAGGAAGGGCAAAATTAAAAAATGCAAACTAATAGGTATTGGTGAAGATGTGAAAAAACTGGAACTAGTATGTATTGGTGATTTTGCATATGCAGTAGTCCTGCTGTTGTGGAAAATAGTTTGGCAGTTCCTCAAAAAGCTAAACACAGAATTATCACATGATATACCTAAAGGAACTAGAAACAGAAACTCAGATAACTAGTACATCAATATTTCACTGCTGTGCTATTTATAACAACCAAGAAGTGGAAACAATCTGAAAGTCCATCAACAGATGAATAGATTTTTAAAATATGTTGCATACGTATAATGAAATATTATCCAGCCAACACAGATAAACCTCAAAGATATAGCAAGTGAAATAAGCCAAATACAAAGGGACAAATACCATATGATTCCACTTACATATTACATCAGGCAAATTCATAGGGATAGAGTAGAATTGAAGATATAAGAGATGAGAGGAGGGGAGATGAAGAGTTAGAGATTAAGTTTTATAGATGAGAAAGTTTTGAAAACGCATAATGCTGATGAACATTGTGAGCATACTTAATAACACTGAATTGTATATTTTTAAAAATGGTTAAACTAGTAAATGAAAGAGAAAAATAGAACCAGCAGTGGTGGCACATGCTTGTAATCCCAGAACTCTTAAGAGGATGAGGTAGGAGGATCGCACGTCTGAGCCAACCTTGGGGAACTTAGCAAGACCTTATCTCTAAATTAAAAAAATGGCTGAGGATGCAGCTTAACATGAAGCCTGGGTTCAATCCTCCAGTACCACACACACATGCACACACATACACACACACACAGAGACAACTGTTTAAACAAAAGTAGCAACAATGTGACATGCATTTATAACAACATAAAAATAACATGTATAATAATAGTACAAAGATTGTGGGAGAGAAAAAGAATACATTATTATTAAGTTCTTAAACTTTAAATTGCATGGTATAATATCACTTAAAGGCAGATCATGATGTTAAAGATAAATGATATATAAACCCTAAAGCAACTACTAAAATAAAAGTTACGGCTAAAAGAAAAATCAGCAAGTAAGATAAAATGGAACTATCAAATATTAAATCATAACTCAATCCCAGAATTTATTCATCCCTTAGAGAAACCCCTTGATAAAATGCAATATGTATTTTTTATCGCCCCATGAAAGGTCAGTTTATTACAACCTACTCAGAAGCATAATTAAGTCAGTGAAAATAAATGGCAAAAACACTCACTGCCCAGACTGGTGAAGTAAAGCCCAGAATTGCAGCCTTGGCTCCATCAGCAACAAAAGGAATGACATTTTCTCCCAGACGTGTGTCTCGGAACAGTGCTCGGAGGATATTTAGAGCATGGACCTGAAAGAAGAGCTCAAAATCAGATATGGGTTGAAAACTATGCTAATTCTAAACCTTGCCTAAGATTACAAAAAGAAATGGACAACCTACAAATGACAGAGCAGATTAATACGATGTATTCAATAACTCATAATTAAAATGAACAAGTTTGAAAAGTGGGGTGGGGAATTGGAGGAGGAGGGGAGTGGATTAAAAATAAACCAAGAAACTGGCCACAGAGTGTGCAGCTCACTCCTCCCCAGCTGACTGTTACCTGCAGGACCTGCAAACATGTACCAATAAAATGAAAAACTAAAAAAAGATTTGAAAAATGTAATTTAAAAGTTCGCTTTAATAAACCATATAGAATCTCACACCTAACAAATACATACATATTCTTTTTAAGGACACATATAACATTTATAACATTTATAAAACCTAGCCACAAATAGTCTCAATAAATACCAAATAATTACTACTTTATATTCTTTGACCACAGTGGAACTGAGTTAGAAATAGTTTTTAAAAATACTTTCTAAATTGATTAATCAGAGAAAAAAATTTTAATAAAGCTGAACAGTAATGAACCTACTGAAGAATGCACCTTAGTAAAACTTAAGAAAGATATACTTAGATATGTACATGGAATACTTCCATTCAAAAACATGACTAAACGTGAAGGTGCTGTGTGTCTACAAGATGACAGAAAAAGAACAGGGAAAAGCAATAAAAAGAGAAAACAATAACTGGAAAGACACAAGTAAGAGTACTAACCACGAGCTGATTCTTGGAAACAAACAAACAAAATTTCTGATGAGACTAACCAAGAAGAAAAAGAAGGAACAAATAAGCAGTGCTATGGAAGAAGACACATCTGCAGACACAGCAGAGGAGAAAACAAAAAGTCAAGCTGTGACCAGGCCTACAGGAATCAATTTGAAGAATGCAAATAAAATGAAAAATAGCCTAAATGCAAAATTTATCAATACAAATTCAAGGAGAACTAAAAAGAAACTAGAGAGATATTACTGTTGAAGAAAATCAATAGTAAAAATCCTCCCAAAGACTTAAAAAAATACAATTAAAAAAAAGATCCTAATGATTTTATAAATGAATTCCACATTCAGAGAATACATAACCTCCACTTTACATAAGCTGCAAAGAGAGACGCCCAGGTTTATTTTATGGATCTAATATAACCTGGTTACCAGAACAAGGTCTGAACAACTACTCTGGGAAAATGGTAGTATTTGCTAAAGCTGAATATGCATGTACTGTATCCAACAATTAGTCCTAAGTGTATCTTCAATAGAAACATTTTCAACATATGTTCACCATTAAATAGGTCTCAGAACTATCTTAACACCACTATTCTTATTAAATAAAAATTTTAAAGTATCAATATGCTCATTTACAATGGATAAACTATACATTAGCAGTGAAAAATGAATAAATTACCATATTGATGGATATCATAAACATAATGTCAACCAAAAGAGATACCAAAAGTATGGTTTAAAACATGCGGTTTGTGTGTCTGCTTGTTTTTACACTACTGGAGATTGAACCTGGGGCCTTCACACTGAGCTACATCCCCAGCCCTTTTTTGCTTTTCATTTTGAGACAAGATCTTGTTAAATTGCTAAATTACCCAGGGTGGGCTCAGACTTAACATCCACTTGCCTCAGCCTCCCAGAGCATTAAGATTATAGGCATGAGCGACCACACCCAGCTTATATGTGGTTTTATCTTTACAGAATTCAAATAACAAAACTAAAACTAAAGTGTTAAAAGAAAGCCCAGAGTGGGCTTTCACATGCTAGACATGTTCTATTTCTTGCTGGCTACACAAGTGTGCTCCCTTTGAGAAACTATATTGAGATTTACATAAGATTTGTACACCTCTCTGTATGTATATAATTAAAATGTAAAATACATATTAAAAATGGACAAGAGAAAAGAAAACCACAAGCCAATCTCACAAATCCAATGAAAGACACACAAATATATTTCTTACAGGTTTTAAACCAAATCCAACAATCCAAAAACATCATATCCAAGTTAGGTTCACACTAGTATACTAATCATATTCCATTTTAAAAAGTAACATAATTCATAGAATTTACAAATTTTAGGGGGAAAAAAAAAAGTATGTATCACAAAAGATGCCAGAAAGCATTCCATAAAATTCACTTTCCTTGATCAGATAAAGGACAGAGCAAAAATTACAACAAATATTAAAAACAACACAAGGGTTCCTGCTACCTCTATATCTATTCAAAATTCTATTACAGGTTTCAGCAGAATAAGAAAAAAACTTTAAAAGATATGGAGCTGGGCATGTAGCACATTCCTGTAATCCTAGCATTTGGGTGGCTGAAGCAGACGGACCATAAATCCAAGTACAACCTGGTCTACATTGCAAATTCAAGACCAGCCTGGGCTACATAACGAGATGCTGTCTCAAACAAACAAAGATTAAGTATTAGAAAGATAAAACAAGGGGCTGGGGATTTAGCTCAGCGGCATAAGCACCTGCCTTGCAAGCAGGCAGTCATGAGTTTGATCCCCGGTAGCGATAAAAAGGAAAAAGACAAAAAAAAAAAAAAGAAAGATAAAACAAAAGTAGCATTATCTATTGGAGATACAATTGTCTATAAAGAAAACCCAGAAGAATTCATAGACAAGCCATTTGTTGTAGCAATGTTGGTAAATGCACAATAACTGAAAAAAATCAATTACATTCTTACACAACAGAAAAGACAATACAAAATTTTTAAATATCACTTATAATTACAGGGATAAGTATATATGGAAATAAATCTCAGATCTATACAACTATAGAACTTTTATAGAGGAAATTTTATTTATTTATTTATTTATTTATTTGTCTTTTTCCTTTTTATTGGTACCGGGGACCGAACTCACGCCTGCCTGCTTGCAAGGCAGGCGCTTATGCCGCTGAGCTAAATCCCCAACCCGGAAATTTTATTTTTTAAGAGATAGAGTCATACTATGTTCCCCAAGCTGACCCTGATCGTGTAGGCTCAATCTTCCTGCCTTAGCCTACTGAGCAGCCAGAACTACAGAGTGCCATTGTGCCCAACCAGGAAAACTGTTTTTTAAGATAATAACAGACATTAAGAAAGATGTGAAAAAATGGAGAAACAGACATCACTGTCATTCTTTCATGTGGGCACATATACAGTGGGAATAAGAACACAAGGTGTTGTGGGCATTAGCCAGTCATTCTATTAATAAGCTATACCGCCAGACCTCACGCAAGATTCAGTAAAGAATGAGAAATCATTCTTCCTAAAAGTTTTGAAGACAACAATATGCAATATAATAACTATGGTTAATGCCTATCATTTTGTTTTGAAATTCTGTATCATTTTTATTATCTTTAAAGTAAAAAGAAATTACATATTATACATACAATTTAAAATTAAGGGGCCGGGGTTTAGCTCAGCAGCATAAGTGCCTGCTTTGGCAAATGGAAGATCGTGAGTTTGATCCCCAGCACCAAAAAAAAAAAAAAAAAAAATTAAATTAAAATGTGAAACATACTATAAGTTAGATGTTACATCTTGGCTAAAGACTTTACTGAGTCCAAAAGTCTACATCAACTCAAAGCACACATGTAATTCTAATACATATTCATTTTCAAAATTTTAGATGCAATAGTAATATTATACAATAACTTCTATCAGTTGTATGTGTTCACCAGTTTTACAACAATTCATTTTAATAAATATCTATCAATTAAAGCAATGCTTTACTTTGTAGATAACAGATCAAAACATACAAAGAAGTACTCTTAAAAAACTTCAAATGTCTGCCTGTCTTCAAGGGTTATCTGTCTTTTAATAGATACTTTTCAAAAATAATACCCAGCAAAGATTTAAATCCAATGCCCTCCTAGCAAGTTCTGCCTATTTCCCTTATTACCTGGGGAACTGTGCTCTGTGAGCTATCTGTAGATCCAGCCAGAAAGAGTAACTCTTTCATTGTTATTTTCAACAAATTCATTTTGCTTCTCTTTGGTTCAGATGCCAACAATGCCTATGGAAAAACAACATAAAAATTAATGGTCTCTTATTAGACATGTATCAAATGTGGTTTCCTTGTAACAATTCTCAAAATTTCACTCCCCTAATTCAAAATTTCCTTTATTAAAGCACAGCTAGCAAGGCAGGCAGGTTCACTGCCCATGTTGCTCTGGGTAAGTGGCTTAACCATTTCCCAAATCATCTGCTTGTTAATCAGACTACAAGGCTACACGACAGTACTCACTGACTACTCCTGTGGACCATAATTTGATGGCAAGTTTCTGACAAAAGTAAGCAAGTCACTTTGTTAAAAAATTCAGCCCACACAAAAATTTTCCTTATATAATTGTTTTTGTTTTGAGGCTCCTTAGAGATTGATCAGTTATTTAATGTATCACAGGAGACTCTACTCCTAGAAGACTAACTGAAATAAAGCATTTAAAACTCCACAGGACAAGCAGAAATACTGCAGAATCCAAAGGGATCCTGTGTTTGAAGTCCGAAGGAGTTGCTCATTGACTTTGACAAACACGGCTGACATTTAATAAATGTAGGTATGCAATATCAACCCACTTGAGGCAATAAAAAGGAACACAGTACTGACAGATGCAATAATATGGATGCACTCGAAAACATAATACTAAATGAAAGAAGCCAGACACCAATGATCACATATTATAAGACTCCACTTTTATGAAATGTCCAGAAGGTAGATTGGCGGTCGCCTAGGGCTGGGAGTAGCAGAGGTGGAGAGAGTAACTGCTAATGGGCTTGGTGGATTGTCAAGTGATGTTCTAGTCTAAAATTAGATTGTGCTAATGGCTGAACAACTCTTCAAAGTCAGAAATCCTTGAATTGTATGCTTTAAAAACATGAATATAAGTGAATTACATCTCAACAAAGCTGTTAAAGAAAAATCACATTAGCTACATTCTCCAATTACCTTCCTTTATATCTATTTTCATGAGTACCACATGTCTCATTTTTTACATTATGGAAATGAAACATCAGTTGACAGGAATATGTTGGGTGTGTTGACCTGGAGCAATGTTCAAGGTGAAATTATGAAGCGAGAGAGAAACAGTAGATCTAGCATGTTCTTAGTGGTATGCAGGGGTTGCACGCACACATGTACACACACACTGTACATTCTCACGCGCACACGAGTCAGAAGTCAGGAGGTTTGGGCCCAAGTCTTCACAGCTCTTACTACTTCTGGGCCTTTGGCTAGTCACACATCTTTTCTAAATCCCAATTTCTTTCTCTTTCTCTATAATAAATGTAACAGTTCCTACCTTAAAGGGTTTGGGAAAGGATTAAACGAGGTAATATGTAAAACTACTAATAAATCTTAACTATTATAAAGATTAAGGCAATTTTATGGAAGGATTCAAAAGAAATTATTAACACTAGAAACACCTGAGGATCTTGAAATGAGAAGACTATTTATTTTGTAATTTGGGGTGGAGGGCAGAGTGAAGGTCTGCACTTCCTGGAAGTGATCAATGAATGTGCCACAGTGACGTCTGCCTACTTAATACCCAGGACGAAATCTACACCTCTCTCTGTTTACATTACAAGACCGACCACTTAAAGGGTTTGTTCCAAGAACTGGTCTGTCACAGAACACTGTCCACACATTAAAACAAAGCCACAGATCTAACACGTAGTACTGAAAAGACAGAGACAGCCCTTCTGTGACTTACTCGTATGTCAAGCAGGCTAGAAGACACGATCAAAAGATAACCCACTACAGACCTCCAGATAAGTACCTGTATGTAGAAAGGGATCCCAGCACTGCGCCTTGTAGCACAGAGTTTGGATGAAGGATCACTGCATTTAATTTCCTCCAAAACATTCCACAACCACTCTTCTGGCAGCTTTTGCAGATTCACATTAGGGCACCTAAAACATAGATATAAGCAAACATTTGGAATTATCACGTACCACAAGAGAAAGTACAAACTACTGTCATACATTAACACTGATAGTAAATACAGTATCTTCCCACTGGGACTGGAAGGGGTGAACTAAACAATGCCCCCTGTCCTTTTTACCCACTCTTTTCTTTACTAGGGAGTCCTAGAAGTTAAAACTATTAAAGGTCCCACTTCTTTCAACTACTGTGTACCAAATATGTGTGCTGGCTGCATAGTCAGCTTTAATACATAGGCTTTTCTCCATATTCAGAATGTTCTAAAGAAGGTTAATCAAGTTCTCACAGATGTTCATACTATAAGAAGCAGGATTTCGCTGGGCAGGGTGGTGTTGCTATCAGGAGGTGGAGACAGGAAAACTGCAAGCTTGAGCCTGAGTAACTCAGTGAGATCTTGTCTCCATAAAGTAAAATAAAGCATCTGGAAGGGTGAGGCAGAACATCACAAGACTAAACCCAACCCAGGCAACTTAGCAATACCCTGTCTCAGAGCAAAACTTTAGAAAAGGGCTGGGGTACAACAGCTCAGTGCAAAGGCACTGGGTTCAAATTCAATACCAAAAAAAAAAGAATAAATTAACTAAAAATAACATGGGCTAATTAATTAAAAATAAAAAGGACTTGGGACCTAACTTACCACTCTCTGGTTCAATTTTCAGCATAGAAAAAAATTAAGATCTCCAACAGGAGAATATAACTTTATGGTGTACTGGAATAAATGCTTTATATGTATATAGATTATATATATTCAAAGTAAACACAGCTTAAATTACATGTTAGTAATTATTTTAATCTCTATCAAAATGTGGCCTATCAAAAATCAAACCTCCAAAACCTAGGGAGTATTAAGAATGCAAATTATCTTGGAAGAGACAAAAATGTTTCAAAGTTATTTGAACACTAAGTCTGTGGGCTTCCACTATGTTACATTAAGTGTTACCCTAGAGTGCCTAAGAATATTTAATTTCTTTCATTTTTAAGATTACAGCCCACTAGTTTATACCATCTGAATAGTTATTATCTCTCTATCTCTCTCTCATGCCTTCTTAAGAAGGGCAGTTATGCTGCATGTGGTGGCACACACCTACAGCACTCAGGAGACCGACACAGGAGGATGATCCTAAGTTTGAGGTCAGTGTAAGTTACATAGTGAGTTCAAGGGCAGCCTGAACTATGTCTATGTAATGAGAACTTGCCTCACAAAACCAGGGCACTTAAAAAGGTCTGACACAGATTTAAAGATTTTCTACCAAAAAAACTACAGTGAAATTTCCCTATTCCAAGCAGTCTGTGACTTTGAAGATTTCCTTTCAATATGGGTTTAGTCAACCCCTCATTCCTGCTTCTTTCCATCCAAGTCCCTTCAGTCCCCAAACCAGCTCTCAAATCTCCAAACCACTAACCTGCATGACAGACAAGGCCCTAACAACTAAATACACTGTGTGGACCTCACTTAGGTCCTGATTTGAACAAACCAATTGTAAAAAAGATATGCCTGACTAACAGTGCAAATGTGCATATTTTCAAATATTAGAGGACACTAGGAATTATTTATAGGATGTGGCAACGGCATTCAGGACACAAAAGAAAGTGTTCATATTTTTAGAGACACACACAATATAATATTTCAGCAAAGAATGATCTAAAGAGACAGATGGTATAAGGGCACAAAACTTTGATAACTGTTGACTCCAAGTGACAAATAAAAGCAGTGCATTCTATTATGCTATGTTTAAACATGTTTATACACACACACACACACACACATTTTTATGTGTTTGAGATTTTTCATAACTAAAATAATCTTCCTGCCTTTTTATATTTTTAAGGATTGAAGTTACTTCCTAATCACTGTATTTCACACTGTTTTAAAATTAAGATACACGCCTTATATTCCATAGTGATTAATACTACCAATCTTGATAAAATCTTCACATAGTTTTTCAATCAAAATCTGAAACCCAATTCTTCAAAGTATTATTTAAGCACTAATGATAAAATTAGATTACTCCTTTCTTTTGATCCTTTTTCACTGCTCCCCCCACCCCACTGCCACAAAAAAGTGTATTGGGGCTAACTTACTCCACAATAAATGGCAAGGAAAATAAAGAGAATTAAAGCAAAAATCACATTTGATGCTCTAACCATTCAGAAAAGAGTTGAAGTTATACAGAGGTGAAGACAGTTAAAGCTACATGATCTATTGTTATCTATGAATCTCATTTATTTGTATCCCTAATACCACAGGCCCTTAAGACGATGTTGTAGTGTAAGGTCAAGCCTTCTGTAGGGTTCACTACTGAGGAAAACACTAAGAGGAAAAAGGAAATGCAGGAGCTGAAGAGTACTTTTCTAGTTCCCTTGGTCCTATCCAGTGCACTGAAAAACGGGTAGACCAAATTCTAGCTCAGGGATGCTCCTTAACACCCAGGCCTGCCTGTGCCAACACACAGAGGTTCTAGAATAGGCAGACAAACCTGGGATCAGAGCGGGGTACCTCACCAATACCACTCATCCGTGCATGAACTTACAGTGGCCTTTGACTATTAACCAAAACCTTGATCTAACTGGTCTTCTATCTTAATCAAATACCACATTGCTTCAAAACTCAACTATGACCAGGACCCAACCCTCCTACTTAATATAAGTTTAACCTTAACTTTTCTAAAGCCCTACACAGATCTTAGATTCTATAAGGCTGTTCTTTGCCACGCTAACAACCATACATGAAACACAGATACACTTACATGTTCACACATGTCTACCTTATATTCCCAACTAAGCATTTTGTCATAACTCATTCAAATTGATAAAAGTTCTGCCAAAAATTAAATTTTACAAGGACCTTTCCCTTCCTCTACACCAGTGGTGGCAAAAGTACAGCATGTGAGTTGTTTTTTTTCTTAAAACAAAAGATGTTGCCAGGGATATAGTTGAGCAGTGCAGTGCCTGCCTGGTAAGTACAAAGTCTTAAGTTTGATTTCTGGCACACACACACACAAAAAAAGACGTTAATGTGTAAGATTTCTGTTTGGGGTTTTATTTTTTCCCTAAACTAAAACTTCAGTTGGCACTTAGCGACAAGTAAGTGGGTTTTGGGTTGCAGTCTAGGCACTCATCCCTAGAAGGTTCACCAGCACTATCCTATACTTTGAGTACATCTAGAGCAACTACTAGGCCTAAGATGCACAGGGGATCAGGGCGATGTGATGAAGTGATGGCATCTAAGCTAGACTTTGAAGGTTAGGTAGAATGGTGGAAGGCTCGCATATGCAGAGTTGGGAAGCAGCAACTGAAATGACTGGGCAAAGAGCACAAGCCAAGGCTCCAGAGGCAATTCTATGATTTAGATTCTTTGCTAACTTAAATGTAAACACTTAAATAGGCTTGTTTATTCCCTTGAGGACTGCATACTAACGACCAAATGCACCTTCTTACTTTGGAGAATTTCAAAACGAAGTCTAGAAGAATGTTCTACAAAGTTGAAGCTGGCAAACGGCCTTCAAGATTCCTCTCTGCCCACTGACAAAGACTTAGTAACCTCAGAGCTCCAGGAAATGCTCAAGGCACTAACCCCAACCATCTAGTCCAGACCTTCTTATTCTACTTTGGAATTCCCCAGGACCAAACTAGCTTTTCTGTAGAATCCTGAAATTGTCTGCTTTCCAATTCAGACTTTGCCACTGGACCTACTTCTCTGATTTCCTTGCTTCCCAGATTTGCATCTCACCAAGGTCAGACCCCACAACCCCATAATCATACAAATAATCCAGTCCAAAAACACAACTTCCATCTTTTTCACTAACGTGAAATGTACATTACTATATTTTAAACAAAACCCATTTATATGTTTTCTTAAATTATCACACTGGAAATAGGTTTGCCTGCTATAAGGGAAAAAAAAATTTATTGACTAGTTATTACGTGTCAAGTCAATACCAGGCATGTTACAAAATCTTTATGCTTCTCACTTTCCCTTCTATCAAATGAAAGCTGTTAGGAGAATAAAATTAGTAGATTCTTGTAACATGTTTAATAAGTTCTCAATAGTCATTTTCTAAAAATATTATCTACGATATGAGAAATGAAAGTTTAGAGAAAAGTTTCGATGGAACTTCCAATAGCGATGGAACAGTTAGATGGCTGACATTTTGAAAAGACAGCCTTCATACACCTACAGACAATATATATTAATAATACCCAAAATATACAAACAGAAACCCTAAAGCGAGCTGAGCTGTAAAGCAAGATAATCATCTGGGTAAAACCAAACGGAAACACAAAGTCATTGCTGATTCTAAATCAGCAGTGTTAATCACAAAATCAGTTTCTATGGGTAACTCCCCTTTCTCCCAGGAAACAGGGAATTTCAGTGGCTTCCTCTCTCATGGAAAGTCACTAAAAAAGAGTCACTGTTAGAGTTGCCTGAAATTGCAGCTTAAGGAAAATTATAAGCCCAAGGACACTCAGAACCAGGCTGATCACTAATTCAATGACTGGGTCGGTGATATCTCCATTCACGATACAGAAATAAATTTTGTATTAATATAATTTAAAAATCAAGAATTAGAACATAAATTCACCTCATATGAAACTAATTTTATGGAGCTGCCTGACAAAGAACTTGAAATAACTGTTTAGTATACTTCAGAAACTGGAATAATTTCAACTTTAGAGGAGCAAGAAATTATAAAAAATAAGCAGTGCTGAAATGAGAACAGGTATATATAAAAATAAAGATATTAAAAACACCATAGATAAAAGTATGCTTTCAAAATAAAACAGGTAAGACTAATTCCAGATAATTAAGAGCATTAACAGGAATTTTTCTGTAAAGTTTACCGAAAATATTATTGTGTAGACACAATAATAAAAATATACATATGCATGTGTACCTATGATAGTGAGTTAGAAAAACAAGACCTGACCCTTCCCTGTTCCCTGACAGCCAGAGGTGCTATAACCTCAT